GGGATATGTGATCACATCATCTGCGTAAACCCTCGAAGCAAGTTTTGGGCAACTCTTATTAGGGTGACCATGCGTCCTCTTTTACCCGGACATGTCCTCTTTTTGGGGGGGCTGTCTGGCCTTGTCCAGGGGAGTTAATAAAATCCTTCAAATGTCTGGTGTTTTGTATGGAAGTTTTGAGTTTGTGTCGCGTGGACTTACTGAGTTAGACTGAGTTAAAAACACTTGACCCAACCCGAAAATTTACTACGCCCAACTCCTTGACTTTGTTCCCATGTAGTCGTGTCCTCTTTTGGGGGATTCAGAATATGGTCCCCCTAGTCTTTATTGATAAACCAAATAAGAAGTGGGCCAAGTATGGACCCTTGGGGAACACCTAAAGCTAATACATAGATTCTGAACCTTAAACAGGCATGGTTACATGTTCTTTACTAGTGTTTAATCTTTTTACTTAGATTCTTGGTTGACTTACAGCATTAGCATAATGGTGGCTAACAGAGCAGTTGTTAGGGTCTAAACCATTCAAATTTCACTCTTAAAACAAATACCAGCTTACAACCAGTTCGTCAGCTTCACAGCTTACCTTCACCTTTGCACTGCTCATGTTTGCCGTTAGCTCTCACTTCCTCTCACTACCTGACACAAGCTACAACAAGATAAGAGAGGAGGAGAGGTCTAGGAAGGAAAATCACAACTCAGTTGATTCTGATTTGAAGGGTTAGAAGTTAGCTTCTCAAGTAATTTCTCCATAATTGGTGATTACTGATAAGACGCACGTTGCTTTTCATCTCGATTCAAGGTGCTGTTGTTTAATTAGAACGCCGTGCTCTCTGAATTCTTTCATGTGATACAGACAGACAAAGAAAAAACAGACGAGAGTATGATGGAGAGGAAAGAGAGAGAGCAGCGGGCGATGGAGGGAGATAGAGGACAGTGAGACAGCGGAGGGTAATGGAGGAAAGTGTGAGACGAACAGCAGAAGCCAATGATATGTGAAAAGTGCAGGCAGGTGCGGCGCTGCATGAGGTGTGTTTGAAAATGTGTGACTGGAGAAAACTTGGTTTGGAAATGCGAAGCTAAAACTCCCAATGATGAAGACATTTACTTTAGGCGCCAAATCCTCATCTCTTTAGCTTGGGCACTAAAATGGCCAGAGCTGGATTCACTCAGAATCTATATATAGGATGATACACGCAATGCATAATTCTTATTACATCCTGGCAATTTAGAGAGCACAGAAAATCCTTTCCAGAAATCCTTCTTATATTTCCCCTGATGTATTTAGGTCAGGCAATTTTGGTTTATTCCTGACCGGACAGAAAGTCGAAAGTGTTTAACACAAAATCTGAACTTTCTCTCTTATAAACACGGTGCACACATACATCAGAAAAGTCTGCATTTCATAAACAATCTATTCTGTTTAAGGTGCACGCAAAGCGACTGTCAATATTAAGGCAAAAACAGAATAACACCAGGTTTCATCAAGGGTTTGTTAGCAACGTGTCAAAACAAGCCTGAGTAATCAAACCTGGCTCGCCACTTCGCATTGACGTGTGAAGAAGATGATGATGAGGAAGACAAGAAGGAGAGACACGAACGCCTCTCCAAGTCTGCTGGAAAAAAATAAGCAGCCCACACGCTTCTTTCAATGTTTTGAGAAAGGATGTGTGAAAGAAACACAGGGTTGTTCAGCCTTGCCAAACTTTAACATCAAACCGAGAAAACAGAAAAGGGAAAGCAACCGCAACGGGCGATTACCATAAATGCTTCCAACACAAAGCCTGTTTTTTTAAAGGGATAATGTACAGAAGAGTCTGACATTAATGGCACTTTTTTTATTCTACTTCTGTTAGATGGCTCAGAGAGAGAGAGCGATCTTTCTCGTAATTGCATTTTAATGCTAACTTATTTATAAAACCATCCCTTTGTAGCCATCATTAGAAAATAGCTCCTCGAAAGGTTATTGTATAGTATCACACCTGTCACTAATGGCATACGGTGAGAAAAAAAAAAAGGCTTGAAAAAGAAACTTCATCAACAAGGTGGAGGCGCTAATTAATAAAGAAGTCTAGATCCAGACAGTTAGTGTTTGCCTTGATAAATGTGTCCCTGGAAATGTAAGTTAAATGGATATTGATTTGAAAAAATAGTTGCTGATGGAGGGTTTCAGTGCGAGTAGCAAAAACCGAGGTCACCCACCCTCTTTATTCTCAAACTGAAGTTTCGGAGATTGACTTGAGTTTTATGGAGCCAGAAGTTAGTTTATATTTAGATCATTTACAGTTTATTGGACAGGTGACAGTTCTGTAATGAGTTTACCTTTAATCTATATCCTCGTCAGTACAGTCACAGGGACAGTAAAGTCAATCTGGACCGGACTAGATGACTGGGCAAGTATTAGATTATTGACAGAAGCGTGTCCGCCTCCAGTAGGTGGCACCATGACTCCTTTTAGCTCATTGCTATTGGGTCGTCTCTCGGTTGACCTCTTACATATGAGAACAGTTGGCACAATGCTCGTAAGACACTATGTTATAACGATAATACCGCCTTTTTTACAGCTCCGCACTATTTTTCGTGTAATAAAAAAACTGTGCTTTTTAAATTTTTTATATGCTGCCTTTGAGTTACCTCAGAAGCTGAAAACGGCGTCACACCCAAGATGGCTACATCTACAAAAGTTATTTGCCTTGCCTTGTCCGAATATAAGCAAGAACAAGGCAAGCACTAAAATAACTTTCGCAGATGTAGCCATCTTGTTTCCGTGTCCAATTTTGCTTTTTTTCCGTATCCGAAACGTTGGCAACTTGGCTGTGATGTCACTTTCAGCTTGGACCTCTGACTTCCGAGGTAACTCGAACCCAACATTAATCCGTCAATGTTTCCCACCTGGTTTCCTAGCAATAGTTCCATCATGTGTACACTGAACTGTGCATAGAACGCCTGGGCCAGTTTCAGTCTGATTTTGAGCCGTGTACTTCAAAGAGAAACTCAATCATCAATCGCATAACGAGGTTTCTTGGTCCGATTATGAGACGCTCGATTTTATGTAATCTCCCTCAGACTTTTCCTCTTTGTAAGTTCTCTGTAAATGTTAAAACCATTGTTTTTAGGTTGCCTTGGTTACATATCACGTTGAAACAACCCCAAGCAGCGTCTTGTTTACCGTCTGTTTCACTCTTAACAAGACTCCCGGTGTAGTGTGAAGACTTGGGACCATGATGAGGTCCAGTGGAATGTGTTGCTGAGGTGAAAAAAAAAAGTAAAAGAAGAGCTTTCTTGTTCAGTTGAATGGATTTTTTTTTCATCGGGTGAAGCTACGCTGGCCTTTGGAGAGAATGCATTTTTGACACTGGGTCCTCGAGGTTACATCCACATTACAGTTGTAGATTTTTGACATTTGCAGAGCTCGTACTGTTTTTTAACGGTCACATTTGCCAGATTTTGCTACAGCAGCTGAGTACAAGTGCCGAGTGGGAGTTGAGGGTCCTCTGAAGTTAAAGATTTGTAAAAGGGGAGAAGAAAAGATCAGATACTGCTAATATTAAACTTGATATTGAAGACCTGGAATATAAAGTGTCACCTCTTATGAAGCGAGCCCGTGACCCTCAAACAAATCTATAGTGTACAGTGTTTCTTCTGCACGCATGCTTCCGCTTCAATTCAACCCCTCAGGGTTTCTGTGCATGCATGGCTGGGACCGTTTCCAAGTATTTACACACTTCTCCACACAAAGGCGTTGAAAGTTTCTGCATATGCATAGAGTAAAACAAAAAGTTACACTTCAGGCTCCACTTTATAAAAAGTCCAGAGTCAATCCTAATGGCATGAAATGTTTTTTACAAAGACCCATCCATTTTTTAGCAGAGAAATATTTGTTTTTCTTGTTTGGGTTTCCATGTTTTTTGTTCTTCAAGTGGTCTCCTTCCCCAAGTCCTTGTCCAAAAGTGTATGAGATGATGTTCAGACACTTGAGCTTAGTTATTTCTGCCAAGGTACACTTGTCTCCATAAAGCACCTTATTAATAGAGATGTTTTTTCTTCATGTTTCTTTCTCGACTTTTTAACCCTTTTTTCATTATTGATGGTGAATCTCAAGTGTTGATTGAGAGTGTCTGATTTTTATCTTGTCCTCATTTTAAACCTATTTTCAAGCATGGATTTCTAACAGTCAGGGCCCAGCTTACACCCTGTACAGGGTCATCATTATTTTCCACCCAGTAAAATCACTGGTTTCATTCCCAGCATCCAGGTTGTATAAATAGCAAACAGCCTTGCACCCGGACTAACCCCCCTAATGGTGGTCAAAGTGCTTTCTCAAGAAAGCAGAAAGAGCTGCGAGTTAGTCCATCAACAAAAACAACATATTACGGTGTCATGATCCCATGTGACACCATTAATATTGTTTACAGTTTCTGGGGAAATATAACGCGTATCTTTATGGGATGAAAAGTGTTCAAAAGCTTTCCCTTTTGGTGATCTATCGAGGGTTTCCAGGCATTTCTACACCTGTAACAAGGTTAACAATCCAGCCACAAAAATAGGTGTTTGATCAGAGACGTTTGATGGTAAATCCGCAGTGATATACCGGTGAAAACATAATTATTTATCATATTGTTGTGATAAAAAAAGATTGCTATCACTAAATGCCGCTAATGTCTCCCGGGTTTGACAAGTTGTTTTGGTGACGTCTTTTTCTGTCAAACTTTCAACCAATTACATGGTCTCATATTCTTCTTCTATCATTCCCTTGACGGTATTGTCCAATAAGAGGCAACAAAAGATCAACAAGAGACAAGAAAGTTCCCTGCTTGTCTGGAAAATAAGAAATAATGGTCCTCAATGCTTGGAAACAACAAAGAAGAGATCATGAGCAGTATGATGTGGTCCTCTCATCCCAGACAGGAACTGCTTCAAGGAGTGGCATAAACAACTGTAAATAGCAAAAAATTAGTGAAAATATGTAAATAGTTTCTGTTGTGTGTTTGTTCCGATTCCAACATTTCTTCTCCTGATAGCCAAGACTTAATAGAATGATGTGCAGGTGAGAAAAGGCTTTATTCACGGTAGATTTATGTGTTTTTTAGGAAAGTACTGTTGGTATCAATTTCCGTTTTTGTTTTTTGGTTGACTTTGATGGTTCTAAATCTACCGTCACATTAATTTGACATAAAAGACGTTTGTATATATTTCCTGTACTTGAAAGGATAGATGGTTTCTTTTACTCTTAATAGTATTTGTACAAAAAAATAAATGAGTACAATAAATCACAGTACTGCTCTCACTGTTGGGCTGATTGAGGGAAACCCTCACCACCATTTCCTCATACCTCCTTAAATTCAGTGCTGCATCGCCTAAAAAATACAGCCTAAGATGTCACCAAGCTTTGCTATGTGCACCAGGATATTAATAAAGACTGAGCCGTATCCATTAAGCGTGCAGTACTATGTGATCCAGCAGCAAATTTGAGTTAATAACAGACTACCTTACTTTGATGTAAAGTGCACTGGACGTCCGCCTTTATTAGAGCCTGTTCAGGTGGTTGTGACAAGCATTTCTGAATAAGTAGTGAAGTTTTGCTGCTGTGCCTCATGCGTACATGTACGCGTCTATTAATCAGGAGTCCCTAATTGTCCCCGCTGTGCAGAGAAATTGTTTCGGCAGAATTAGCATCAATCCATGTATCAACATAAGGTATACGACAACCTGTGTGTGCTTTCTGCATGTTTAGTAGAAACAAGTTTATTAAAGTAAAACTGCTGCAATATGCTTATCTGCAAGAGCTAATATCTTGATTGGTTTAATCCATGTTACAGAGGCCCATGTGCCCTTTTAGGTTGCTTCCATAGGGTCCTGATAATATTGTCACATTACATCCATTGCTGCCAAAGCCTCTCTTTCAATGTTTTTTCGCTGCTTCCATGCTGCTGTTCGTTACACTTTCACACTGCATGCAAAGTAGAGACAAAGCAAAGTACAGCCATTGTCAGCTCTCTGAACAAAGACAGAATGTACAGAGTACAGTTGGCGGGGGCAGAAACACGGACACCTCAGACATGGTGGAACTAAGAAAACCGCTTCGGCTAGAGCTGATACAAACGGTATGGGACTTTTTTCTTTTCTTTTTTTTAATCTTATCGCTGTTGCAAGTCTCACAGGTTGAATGTCCCACAGGGTACCTCCCGCTACTCCAGATGGCAAGTACACCCCCTCACTGCCTCCACTTTCTTTGAGAGAAGGAAAGTACAACAGCACATGTAAGAGAAGAAAAAAAATGAAGTCTTTCTTGATCATTAAACCTGTTTTTGCAAAATGCTGTCGGCTGAATAAGAGCGTGTACTTTTCAGGTAAAACATCGTCCGGCTCTCAGGAAAGTTTAAAAATACATCCTTGCAACTTTGCATGTACGCACAAGCTGTTTCACTCGTGTGAAGAGGGTCTTTGGAGTTTCCAGCGTTTGAAATTATAGGGTTATTCATAGACCTTTATACCAACGGCACAAAGGTGAAAATGATCGCCTTTGTCTTGCCAAGAGGAGGGTCGTTGATAGTGGATGGCTGGCGTTCGGTAGCAAGTTCAGGCCGACAGTCCAAGCCAGAGAGAAGTATCCATTAATCAAAAAACACCACACACACGCACACACACACACACACACACACACACACACACACACACACACACACACACACACACACACACACCATTATTTCACTGCCCTCCAAGTAACGATTGGCTTGCATAGACTCGGACTCTAATTTAATGTAATTCCATTTATCACCCTGAATTAGATTTCATGTTGCTACTTAATAATTTACATCCCCTGGAAAGCACTCTTGGCTTTCACCTCGGTATCGGTGAATACTGAAGATGACTGGAGGTAATGGCCAATACAGTGAGCATAATTTACTTTACAGAGTGACACAGGCAGAGCATGGAAACAAGATTTTAGGTGCACAATGGGTAAGCCATGGTGTGGCACGACTGACGTGTTGAGCCGCCAATCAGCTGTGTAAAACTTTAATTTAGTTCAAGTGTGTTTGCTGTTGAAAGGGTAGAGGTTGGTGCAATCCATCGATGTGTCGATGCATTGCGATGCTTCACGTGACGATTAGCTAACATCAATGTTTAAAATAATTAAGTGATTAAATAATAATGTCCATGCTTTGCCGCAACGCCAGAACAAAAACATGTAATCGGAACCTTACTGCGCGCCGCCCGGACTGTTTAGTGAGCGGGACCACAACAAACAGAGCATGTTAGTATCTTTGCAAAATGGCAACAGCTTCTGCAGCCTCCAAAGAGCGACCGATTCTCTTTGCAGTCAACCGGGGTTGACACCACAAACATGAGGCAGCACCTCGTACACTTCACCCCGGAACAGAGGGGGCTCCTACGGTCGTGCCCGCCACACAGAGGACCATCCCGAAGACTGTCTCCAAACTTCTCGGTTTAAGTTTAGTATGTCAAAGTACAAATGTTTACATAGCAGTCATACAATAAAAAAAAATAAAAAATCCCACTTGTATGGAAAAAAGCACTAAAAGTGGCAATAATCTAAGAATCATGGCACCAATAATCAAATCAATAATCATTAAAATTGAAGAATCGAGGCTCCCATAATCAAAATCGAATCGAATAATGAGGCACCCTTGTTGGAACACCCTATTAAAGGGTAACATCTCAAATCATAGTAGAGTCTTGGGTCCTCAGTGTTTAAGTTTAATAAGAAACAGGAGGCATTGACTAAACCCTCCATGCTTAGCAGAGGATGTTTGGTTATGCACACATTCTGGCGCTGTTTTTTTGGCCACATGAAGAGGAGCATGAATCATCCTTCATTATGCTCTAAATGTTGGGAGATGAAATAGATTGTATATATTCAATACATATACATATCATTGTCCTCTCCTCTATCTTCTTAGCTCAAATCCAGTCCGTGCCATCAGCGCTTCGGCTAAAATCAAATCACGACTCTTGAAAATACAGACCTGCGTCAGCCTGAACCCTAAGTGCTGCAACACTGGCAGAAGAATTTAAAAACAACTCCCCGGACACAACCCTCATCTACAAGAAGTCTTCTGGGAGGAAAACATCCACAAATGGTGCCGCATAATCTTTCTGCATTGTTGTGGGAAAGTTCCAAGTGTGGAACAATCAATTAGAAGACAATTATTATTGTTTATCAAATGTCAGCAGTTGTCATCCCTCCACTGTCTGGGGCCTGAAGCACTCTGATTGCAGTGACCAATTCCGGTCCGTGTCTAGGATCTCAAAGTACACTTGAGGACATCATTTCACATTTAGCTGAATGTCTCCTTGGACTCAAGGATGAACTGATTTGAATTCGGTGGTTAAAGGTGACCCTATTTCACACAGATGTCTCATAGATCTAAATGAGAAAGTGATATTTTTCACCCTGAATGTCAAAGGTCAACTAACCGTGACACGCTACTATCATTGAGAACCACTTTTCTGTTATTTAATTCTGTCTTGATCTTGTGGATGTCATAAATCAAGAATGCTCGGAGATAATATCCAAAAAGCGTGCATCTGGACTCAAGGGTGACCTGACCATAGAAGGGTCACTGTGGGGCAAAGGTCGCTATTACTCATTCTGTGGGAGACATATGGTCAGAGACGTGGTGACTCTCCTTCAATCACTAAGTGTATATAAATTAGCCTTCGTTTTTGCCTAGTGAGAGAGGTGAAACAAACCGAGCTGGCTGTCTTTTCACTGGAGTTGTACAAGTCAGCTGATTGCAGAAACAGCCTCTGATTGGCTGGCAGACCAAAACAAATGTCAGTCTTTAGCATGGTACGCTAACAACAGCATTGGAAAAACAAGACGTTGATCCCTGGAAAGCTGCCTATCTCAGAAAACTAGAAATTCACAGTAAGTCATGACGTCATACTATATATTGTAAAAACAACAGTAATATGTCTTAAATGACAGTATCAAGGAAGGTTTCTTACTAAAGCCCAAATATGAGGGATCCCACTATTTAAGATGTGTTATGAGTAAAATACACCTCGTCTTACGCACTAGCAATGCACGCTTGTTGCTATTCCGGCTACCTCTGTAAAACAGCATGCAGGCTAACCAGGTTGTCACTAGTGGCTGTTGTAGAAGTCGCTAGATGGCGTCATCACCTAATTTGCATAATTTTTCAGTCCCACCCAGAGGAGGAGTCTTCTTCGGTGTGTCTGTATATATGTGTTTTTGATGCACGCCCGCTGGGTATCGTTTGATTTTGAATGATTCCGACTCTGATTCCTCATTTCGATTCCGGTTCGTAATGATTTTCTATTCTGATTCTTTTAAAAGGCAGGATATATATATATATATATATATATATATATATATATATATATATATATATATATAAAAATGCATTTCTGAACTTCTCCAGAAATTTTTAAATAATATTAACTTTTTAAGAACTTCAAATTCACAAATTCACTGTGTGGCTTCATCTCATATGGTACGTCTTTGTTGGTGTTCAGCGGCTTCTTCTTCGTTGGACTTCTTCTTCGGTGGACTCCGGCATCGAAACTTGGAATCGAAATTTTAAAATTTGAACGGGTTTGAATCGGAATGTTAGTCCCAGCCCCCATCGAATCTTGAGACTCAATGCCCAACCCTAATCCTAACTCTATTGCTGTTATCTCTCCGTTGAGTCTGGTTCAAACTCGGCCCCAAGGAAGGCCCTGCAAATGCTGAGTAAAGTCATCAAATATCCAAAAGTTTTTGGGCTTCAAAGTCTGTCCAGACTTTTGGAGTCCATTTTAATATTTAGTCTTTGGATTGCTGTGTGTGTACACATGAATGTGTTTTTTAACCTTTGTTTATTAGCTCTCTTGGAGGGGAGCACCAGGATTCCGGAGCGCTGAGTTCCACTTACTCGAACTTGGAAGCGGCCCAGTTCTACCATAATCGTCTCCGCTGTTCATTAGCCAGTTGGGGGTAAACTGCCTTGCTCAAGGGCACTGCATCCTTTGGCAGACTCAGCTCTGTCATGAATGAGAGTGAAACAGTGACCTTACCAAGCTGCTTCTTCAACTTTTGGCCAGCGCTCACCAATTAGCACAAATACATCTGTGTTTGTTTGTTTGAGACCGAGGAGAGCTTAATGTACCATGGCCAGTGTTTAAGAACCGTTCCTTCACTATCTGTCTGTTTACCCTGTCTGACAGATTGATCTGCATTAACAGTGAATATCATTACATTTAAGTGGACCCCAACAGAATCGACAGATTTATGGTCCGCTGGAGGTAATAGATTCGTAGACTAATGCGGGCTTGACATCCTAATACATTCATAGATATGCCAAGCGTTTGCCAAGTTCAAGGAGAACAGTAGACTGAAGCTCGACTGTGGTTTGACTGATGTTACTCTGGTGAAGTTTTATGATACAATATCTGTTCCAATAAAAGTGTGAAAAGTGTGAGGGTTTCCGCTTAAGTAGACTGATAGATAGCATGTGGTACTCTTCAATATTAGGCACAGGAAGCACTCAGTCATGCTAAGATGAGTGCTTTGAAATAATAAATTGCAAAATGCAAATAAGGAGAAGATTAGTCTATGTTTATGGGTGGTATTTAATTTTAATTGGTTCATTATTTCCGGAAATTACATTTTTAAACTCTCCTGACTGCCACAGCTGTGCTTGGTGCTGCGTTGAGGGAATGAAGGCTACAGGTTGAGAGGATTCATCTGCAAACCACACTCACACACTGTTGAAGAGTTTTCTCTCAAAGTAGGTACAATGGGAGATGAAAAGAGGGGCGGATCATTGACGAGGATGCGCTGCAAAGAATCTACGATTTCTTCAAAGACTAAGAGAAACTGAAGGCACTGATTGTTGACTAGATAGATAGATAGCTAGATATATAGATATTTTATAAATTCACACATACTGACACAGTATAACACTTAACAATCCTTTCTTCAAAGCCAGGCAAGTTCCTGCCCCACCGACTGTCACTCATCTTGACAGGTGTCGAGAAGAAAGAGCCAATCTACAATAAAAGCCAAGGTGTGGCGTGCGTGTAGCTGCTAACCTCACATGAAAGGATTCCTGATTTTTGACTCGTCCTTTCAGTGTTCGGCTGACACCAGAAATTAGCTTTCATTTCTCCTGCTGAGAACAAGTGATTACAGCCTCCTCAAGCCTTAAAAATAAAAAATATTAACTAGATAACAAGCCACCACGCCATACTGTATTGTTCCAACACTCCGGCGCTTACAAGATGACACATAAGGGGAAGTGTTGTTTTTTTGCAGTGTGTCATAGCACCTTCTTTCTGTCAAGCCACTTCACACCCCCTCATATCGACACTGCGTGAGCTGAAGTCTCGTTACTTCTCATTATACCGATTTGTATACATTACAAAGTTCTGAGTGTCGATGAATTAACTTTCGTATGCAGGTACTGTGCAGTCTGACATTTGGTAGCTGCATCTCAAAAGAACTTTAGATTATTGCACAATGACGAGTGTGATCAAAGCTGAGAAAAATGTGGATTTTTTAATCTTCTAACCTTCCTCTCATTGTCAGACGCCCCATGGAGTTCAATTTCCATCTGTGGTCCCAAGCAGGTTGTTGGTAAACGTACAAAAGTACACAAGGAATATGCATAATGTAAAACTAGATTAAGAATCCTCCAGACTAACCAGACTAACCATAAATGTAGTCAGAGCTAAAGTGAGAGTAAGGTGTTTCAAGTGCAAAAGTAAGTGGCCTAGTGCCAGAGTGTTAAAGTGTAATGGTGCTTAAGTGCGGGTGAACCACATGTGATGGTAGAGGTGTAGGTGACAAAAACTGCACCTTTGCCCCAGGACTGTGAATTTAAAGTGCTGGTGCAGTTGCAAATTGCAATGCCTGCACATTTACTATTGCACAGGGATAGTGTACATAAAGTTTTTAATACTGCACATAAGCTGTATACATAGATACATACATACATTATAGTTTTTTTTTCCTTAGCTACGTCTTTATGTGACCCATGTCCTGAGCTAATTTTCCATTTATTTGCAATCATTTCAAGGAAGTGGTGCTAGCTCGCTTTTTACGGTGTCAGTATGACTTTCAATCAATTACATAAACATTAAAAAACTTCTCACTGGGGATTTAAAATTGATTTTTAAGGTAAACATCTTGGTACTACTTAGTAGCAGCGCACAACCCCTGTAAAAACTGTTGTTCAGGACTGCCCGCAAGATTCTTACTCATGCTTCCAACCTACTTGGCTACCGTAATAACCGTTGTTCTAGTCAACGCGCAACGCTTTTGTTCTCATTCATGAAACGCTCAAATCGCAGACATTTCCGGGGACAGTTTTAGTCGGGGACGGGTCATCCAACAGGGGACGTCTGGTCACCTTATTTCAAGGGTACCTTAAAATAGGACTGGGCGACTATATGATTGTGATCGATGATCGTGATGGATTTCAGTTCGATCACAGTGATCAGCTGTGAGCAAATTTACTCGATCAAACATAGCGGAAGTGTGCGTCACAACAGCCAATCAGAGTCGAGCTTTTCCGGCTCACTTCCGTAAGTTGTTGAAGAAGTAAACAGAATGACCGAATAAGGAGCTTAACGCAGAGCTGAGGGCAAAATAGATGTCAGATGTGACTTTGAGTTATATTTCAGAAGATACTATTGTTGAGAAGTTATTCAACGTTGGTTGTGTGGCGGTGATTCCGGTATCTCCAAAGTGACGTCGAGCAATTAAGACGATGTGCAAGGTATGTTGGCGATTGGTGCCCTCAAAAACCAGTAACATAACAGATCTGTTTAATCGGTTGAAGATTTGAAGTTCTTCCTGAGTGATTATGTGGAAAGCATAAAAATGTGAGTGGAGTCTGCACAGCCTGACACTGCTTACAGCACAAGTAGCATTAGCAGTTTAGCCACAACTAGCGGTGCAGCCACCAGACCAAAGCAACAATCAATTGTATCATCTACGTTTTCTAAGTGTATCTTATTCAATTTGCTTTCTTATTTACTTTGTATGTTAATAAAATGTTATACTAATCTCTAGTTTCTTTAGTTTTTAGTACAGATGCTTTAAAACAGGCAGTTAGTTAGTTTTTGCCAAATCGCCCAGGCCTAAAATGAAACAGACGTTAGAGTGTGTCACTATCAAAGGGTCTGGAAAAGGATAAGATAAAAAACCTGAGTGTGTAGATACCTCGACTAATTCATCCTCAAAACTGTCAGTATTGCATTTTGAAGCCTGATTTGACTTTTGTCCTGCTAATATCTGTTGTTGTCATCTTTATTTCCAGCCTAGAGGAATAACACAGACATACATATTTAAACATATGCAGAAGCAGCAGGATGAAGCCAGAGCTGACATTTCACCTTTATTAGCGACCACGACCTGCAGGTCCAGAAGAACAAGAGTCAGAACAAGTTTAGAAACGGAGCGCAGAAGGTGCGAGCCGGATCCGGTAACGATTGCATTTCCTTCCGTTTAATAACCTCAAATAAATAACACCTACTTGGTGGTCCTCCTGATTTTAAAACACAGTGTGCATATTCTT